CACAGCCCCCAGCACAACCCCCCAGCTCCTTCCATCTCCCCCCAGACCCACCCGCCCCTGGTGTGGGGGTCCCCCAGGGAGCCCTGCCCCCCTGCCCTCCACCCGGAGATGCCCACAAACTCTTGGAGAGAGTCAGTCCCACCGAGCACCCCCAGCACTCACGGAAGGGGGTACTTCTTCCACAGGACCTTTGGGGACAGCGTCTGGTAGACGGTTTTCTGCTTGCCCTCGGCGCCCGCGCTGCCGTGGCTGCTCTGCACGATCTTGGAACATTCCATCTTCTCGTCCCACGTGCCAGACATGACGTAGTGGGCTTTCCCATCAGCGTCACTCACCACCCCGCTCACCTGGCAGAAGGAGATGGCTCTGCAAGTGCCCAAAGGACAGGGAGAGGCATGGGGGGCAAACACCCTCCAGATGCTCCCACCGGAGCTGGACCAGCTCTGCCTCCATGGGGAACGTGGACCCATCCCGACCATGCAAGGGTCCCCAGCCCACCAAACCCCACCCAGGTCTCAGTGATGCAGCTCCAGCACATGGGGAGCTGAAACAGGGTCTCTGCTTGGACACAGCTGGTCCCCCCCAAGCCCTCCCCAGCAGAGGTGCCAGCACAGCAGCTCCCTGGCCCCACACTGGGGCTCATCCTGGCTGCAGTGCCAGGACCCCCAGGAGCCCAGCTGAGGGGTAGGACCTGGGTCTCCCCCCGTGCCAGGCTGCCAGAAGGAGCAGGGAGGTACCTGGATACCCACCTTTCGGGGGACATCTCTGGAGAAGTAGCTGTAGGGGGTAAATTTCAGCTGGCATTTATCTTTTGACTTATGGTTAACAATCTCTATTTCACCAGACTAGATGAAAGACACAGAACCACAGAGAGTGAGAGACTTGGCAAGGAGACAAATCAGGTGTTAGTCATAGGTACAAATCACCACCAGCCCCACAGCAGCATCACCACCCTGTCCCACAGAGCTGCTGGCCGTGGGAAGAGCCATTATGAGCTCCAGGAAGCCCATCCCTAGGGAAGCAGACCTTCCCATCATGGCACAAGTATGGTGGGGACACCAGGAAATGCCCTTCCACCCCCCATGCCCTTCCCTGGAGCCAGGCCAGGCTGAGCAGGACCCACCACCTGTAGCCACTGACCTGGTCAATCCAGAGCTTGCCCACAATGATGTTGTGAACAGTGGAGGTGACTTTCCTCCAGACGTAGTGATTGCCACTGGAGTGGAACTCGAGGTGGATGGCACCTGGGGAAGGAGGGATGCCCTGAGCTCAGACCCTGACACCTGGGCATTGTGCTCGTCCCCAGCGACCACCTGGCCCCTCCACTTGCACCTGCAGCTTCCAACCAGAGCTTCATCCCTCACCTTGCTGCACCCTCCATGGTCTGCTGCAGTAAGGGAGCTGCAGCACCTGCAGGGCCCCCTTCCCACCCCCCTAAAAGCACTGATTTAGAAGCAGGTCAGAATTGTGCTGCTTGGTTGAGACCAGCCAGGCACCAGCCCAGGGACAGGCAGAAGACCATGAACACCTTGCCTGGAGACAGCTCCTGGCATCTGGCTGCCAGGGAGAGGGCTGAGCCAGGCAGCCACCTGCTCACCTCTCAGTATCATGGAAGGAGAAATCAACTCATGAGCAAGTAGAACGTTCCCCAGGCCCATCCCTAGGGAGCACAGGTTCCCTTTGCAGCTGGTGGAATTCCCATTTCCAGGGCAGATGAGTTACTGTGGGACTGTCTGTGCTCAGGGGAAGGAATCTGGGCTCCTATGTTGCTCAGGGTGGAATCACTTGGGGTGAGCCCAGGGGACTGGCACGTTGCTGTCACCTCTTGTTATGCTTTGAGTGGGCCAGGCTCATTTTATGGTACCAATATAAGGACCTAGAGAGGGTATTTAGGGCTGTGAGAGATCCAGGGGGGTCAGGATTCCCCCCCCCATTTGCTGCCATACTCTGTAAGAGCCATAAGGGCCCTTTTTTCCCTGCTCCCTTCTTCCTTGCTGCTTCTGTGCTGGGAGGTCTTGGAGAGCTGCTCCTGCTTTTCCACCAGCTTGCCAAAATCCACATCCATTGGGTGCTGGCCGAGCCACGGACACCCATTCCAAGCAGGTCCTGCTGCAAAGGGACCCTCAGACCCCGACCTCTGGGACTGGGTTTGGCACATGCCTGTTTACACTGCACACACTGCTCCTCACCCTGTGTTCATGCCCCTTCCATGCTCCAACCTTTCAGTCTCTCTTCCTTATTCTCCTTTTACCTTCCCTTGGGAGGGTGGGGAGGGGTAACAGGGAGCACTTCTGCTCTGGTTTGTGGCTCACCCTGAGCACTAAACTGAGACACCTCTTGGGTGTTGCAGGAGCAGCACAGGAAGCAGAAGCCCCAACCCTCCCAGCACACGGCACCTACCCAGTGGCATGATGGAGAGGTATTTGCCCCTGAACTTGCTGGCGATGGTGATTTCCTGCCACAACGTCCACCCTCGCTTGGAGTAGACGTGATGGGCGGCTGCTGGGGGGTGGTGGCTCACCTGGGGGAGAGGAAAAACAGCCCATCAGGTCCCAGCCACCAGCACCAGAGCCTTGGCGAGCGCTCGGCCATCGCAGCGTGACCCCCAGCAGAGATGACCCCCCCAGCCTTGTCCTGAGCACTGAGGTGACAACTATGAGGTGGCCCAGCAGCATATGGAGATGCACTGAGCTCCTGCCAGGACTTTCTAAGGCTGATTGGGAAAGCACTATCCACAAAATCTTCTCTTGAAGATGTGAGATGATGCCGTCCTGTGAGCACAGGACAAGGTGCTGCTCTCCAGGGACCCTGGTTGAGAAACAGGGATGTGGTGACACCCAGCCCAGATTCCCAATAATCCCAGTGCAACAGTACCTCTGCTACCAGCAGTGGCTCCCACTGCTCTGCCTGGAAACCCCGTAGGGATATGGGTCCCCAAGTCACCTGAGACACAGGGACCTGCCCAGCCAAGACACCAGCTTTGCCCCTGGGCTGGAAAACCAGCAACACTTGCTCCATCGTGGGGATGACTTGGAAAAGGACAGTGCTCCCCACGCTGGAAAACTGCCCAGCACCGAGGTGGGAGCAGGACACTCCAGGTCGAGGAGATGGGAGGGTCTCTCCTAACCTACCCACCAGGCTCTGGCTCAGCATATGCTGCCCAGCACTGGGAAACCACCAACCCCTGGGTCCTGACAGCCACAGCTCCAGGTTCAGAGATGACCTGCCCCGATGTCTGCACCAGCTGAGCACCCCCAGCTGCAGGATTACACACATGAGCAGAGCACAAACCTCTCCATTAAATCCCACTGTCACTGGCAGGACAAAATCCTATTTGGATAACTGGATTTCAGGCACAGGATGGATTATCAACCTTTCACTCATCATGTTGGTGGGTTCAGAGGCATCTGCAGCATCCATGGGAAATTAGAGCAGTGGAACAGCATCCATCTGTCCATCCCATGCTGCCCATCCCAACCACAGCACCAGGACAAAAGGCTCTGCTGCCCAACATGCCCTTTGGGATGGCTCCAGGAGGGAGGTTTAGAGGCTCCCATTCACAGACCAAAGGCTCTGAGTTATGACAAACCTAACTCTGGATGAGCCTTGTGTGCTGTGCTGGTGAGGGATGGACATTGGGACCAGGCAGGAGGCTGCACCCAGGGACAGAGCACCCTGATGATGGTGGCACCATCTTCTGCTTCCTAACACTGGACAGAGCAGGGTGACAGCCCAGGGAGATGGGGCATCGGGGAGGTGTTGGAGAACAGAGACCTTAGTTCCTCCTGCTGTGCATGAAGCTGGCTGGGGAATTTGGCTGTGGGGCAGGACAGGGAATCACTGCCAGCTGGGGGTGAAGGTCTGATGAACCTGGGCTCTGCAATGTTCCCAGCAAAGAGCTGGGGGACTCCAGGCAGAGCTGGCAGGGCAGAGCAGGCACGTTTGGAGCTGCAGCTCATCACACTCAGGTCAGCAGCATCCTGGCTTGCTGCAGCCCAGGGCACGAGCTCCTGAGCCTGGCACAGACCAGACAGGCACCACTGGGGACAGTCAGTGGTGGCTGACATGGGACATGCAGCTTTGGATGGTGCAAAGGGACATGCAGAGACACAAATCCTGCAGATAATCTACTGAAGGACCTTTTCTTCTGTCATGAGCATGGGTTCACACTTCCAGCAGACCCCACCAAGCCTGTTCACCATCACTGCCCAGAGCAGTGCAGCCAAGATGGGATGTGACAGGAGCTGCTGTCCTGCCTTGGGCCAGAGCTTGGCAAGGGCTACCTGGGCTCAGGCCCCCACTGCCATGGAGGCATTTTGTCCACACCTGTGTGTCGTGTGAGGAGCTGATGGCAGAGCATGGCACCTGCCACACAGGCTGCTCCAAACTTTAGTACAAATGATCACAACCTGGGAGAAGGTGTTGATGAGGGACAGAGACAAGCAGAACCACCTCAGGGAGACACGGGCCCCCTCCCTGTGTGTTCTCAGTGTGCCCCATCCACACGTCTGACATGTGCTGAGTGTCACAGAGCCCAGAACTGCCTGCCTGGGTTAGCACCAAGATCCATTTCCCATGCAGTGTACCCCAAAAGTCCCACAGAGATCAGGGGCACAGTCTGCTGAACAGTCCTGCAGGTCCTGGACCTGCATCGGCCTCCATAGAGTGACAGAGATTTGTGATTTTCAGAGAATCACTGGCTGGTTTGGGTTGGAAGGGACCTTAAAGATCATCCAGTCCCACCCCCCTGCATGGGCAGGGACACCTCCCACCAGCCCAGGTTGCTCCAAGCCCCATCCAACCTGCCCTTCAATACTGCCAGGGATGGGGCAGCCACAGCTTCCCTGGGCAACCTGGGCCAGGCTCTCACCACCCTCACACCCAACAATTTCATCCTCATGTCCAACCTCAGTCTCCCCTCTGCCAGGTTTAATCCATCCCCCCTCATCCCATCCCTCCCTGCCCTTGTCCCAAGTCCCTCCCCAGCTTTCCTGGAGCCCCTTCAGGCACTGGAAGCTGCTCTAAGGTCTCCCTGGAGCCTTCTCTTCTCCAGGCTCAACACCCCAACTCTCCCAGCCTGTCTCCAGAGCAGAGCTGCTCCAGCCCTCCCATCAAGGCCTCTTCTAGCCTTGCTCCAACAGCTCCATGTCCTTCTTGTACATGTCCTTCTTGTCCTTCTTGTCCTTCCTGTCTTCACCCTAGAGCTAAACCCAGCCCTGCAGGGGGTCTCACCAGAGCAGAGGGGGAGGATTTTGCCTGACACTTCTCAACACTGGAGCCGTGAGGGTCGCTCTGCCCCCAGGATGGCACAGTCACCTCCTGGAGAGCAGGGAGCTCGCACCAATGTGATATCCTGCCTGCAAGAGTTGACAAATGGCTCCATTCCTCCCCCAGAATCCAGGGCAGACCAGCCAAGTGTGCTAAATATTTAGCAGTCAATTTTCATCACAGATAGCAATTCATTAAGTGCTCCAGGATTTTAATTAAGACCTGCTGTTGGCCCGACGTGTGCCAGACGTGCTCTGTGGCTCCAGCCTGGGGCCGTCAGAGCTTCTCAGGTTGCCCCCAAGCTCTGGAACTACACATTTTCAGTCCAACAATAAAGAAATGAGGTCCTGAGACACACTCCAGACCAAAGACACCAGGAGGAACCGGGGCAGGGCTTGTGGGCACCACTGACGTGGCTGGAAGGGAGGTTGGTGCTCATGTGTTGGGATGTGAGAGGAGCCCCGGGCAGGCTGCCAGGAGACCCAGCAAGGAACAGACACCTTCCTCCTCCCCTTCTTCCCCACCTCCTGCTCTGCAGTGCTGGCACAGCCACACTGTCCTCCTGCTGCTGAAAACTGGCTCAGGCTGCACCTGCTGCTGCCCCTGCCAACCCCACCAGCGACCTGCTGTGCCGGGAGGGAGGCTCGGCGCGAGGAGACGCTGGGTGTCCTTTGGAGAAGGGCTGGGCAGGAGCCCCTGGGCAGCCCCCAGCTCACCTGCTCACACAGGGAACGGAAACCAAGCTCCTCCAGCCGGTCCAGCTCGTAGGTCTCCCCCAGGAGGGGGTTGAAGGGCTTCGCGGTGCGATGGACGGTGGTGGAGTAGGAGGACACCGAGAAGGCGGCGACGAAGCACATCTGCTCCGTGGAGCTCTCGCACTTGACCGCTTTGTCCAGCAGCTCGTGGTACTCCAGGTCCTCCGTCAGCCTCTGCAGCATGGACAGGGGCTCGTTGAAGTTCACCTGGAGGGAAACAAGGATGGGTGGCAAAGCAGGAGGCACCGAGCGGGGCACCTGCCGTCCTGCCCCAGCACCGGCATCCCGCCCGTCTGGCTGCCCAGGCACCGGGGATGGGCTCCCCCAGTACCCAGGGCAGATGGAACCTGCACCCGGCTGAGGCCACAGCCCTGCACAGACGTTCTGGGCACGGGGCTGGATGTGCCAAGGCAGGCTGCCTGCACCTGCCTGCTCCTGCCTGAGCACTGCTCCCTGCCTGCTCCCGCCTCTGCAGCATCACACAGAAGTTAAATCAAAGCAAGCAACACATGCACATGCTCAGTCACGCTCCCTGAACTTGTACCACCAAAGCTTGATGGCTTTGAAGTCCCAGCTGAGAAGACGTGTGCTTGGGAGTGAGCAGCCCCGTGAGGAACCCAGATATTGTCCCAGGTGTCACTTCACTCTGGTGATGGAGCACCAGTGACCTCCACAATGAGCCTCAGCAGCAAGACCAACTCCCTCCTGCCTCCCCACCAGCACGAGCAAGGTGACACGAGGCAGGGATGTCCTTCTCCCTGGCCTGTCCTCTGTCCCCCCTTTCAGGAAACCCTGAAAAGCTCCATTTTGGGGTGTCCCTGCTCCTGAGACTGCAATGGCAGTACCCAAACTGCTCCTGCAGTGGTGGCAGCAATGCCTCAAGGGGCAGAGAGAGGGGACACTCTGTCCTGGGAGAGGCCAAATGGGTCATATTTGCACCCACCAATTTATTCACCCCCCTCTTTACTAGAGAACTTTGCCAGGTTGGACAGGCTGCCAACATCTCTGGGGAAAAAGCACATGATTGACTTTACTCCTGCTCATGGCAGGGGGGCTGGGACTAGAGGGTCTTTAAGGTCCAGCCTTAATGATTCTACGATTTAGCAGTATTTTGTATTGAGAAAAGAATTAAAATTAAAAAGTCACCAAAAGGAAGAGGGGTTTGCTTCAGAAGGCCTTCTGCCTCAAACCCACAGGAAACTCATCTCTTAGTTTCAGTTCAGAGCAAGGAAACCTACTTCAGAGGGAGCAGAGGGTTGAAGGGTGGAAGAGCCGTTTCCAGCAGCCGAGTTACACGTCTCACGCCACGGGAAACAAACCCCAGATCATTCCACTCTGGGATTTAAGCAGCAGGGATCTTACAGCACGTGAGGAGGAGCAAGCTGTGCAGCCAGGGCAGCATCACAGCACATGTTTTTGGAGAGCTGTAGATGCCATGAGAGCAGCAGCTCCAGCCTCTCCCACCGGCACCGCTCGGGCCGCGGCAAAAACCCTCCCACTGGGGAAGGTGGTTGTGCCCAAAATGCAAAACCTCTAAAGCTGTTTTCTTCCTTTTCAGTGCTTCAGGTTTGTTTGTTCAGGGGAAAAGGTAGGAGTGGTTTCTCAGTCCATCACATGCCCTGGGAAGGGGATGAGGTCTGAGAAATGCTTTTCCATTTGCTGGGAATCGGGTGTAAGGCGTGGAAGGAGAAACCCCCATCGCTCGGTTCACACCACGGGTCCACCAGTGGTTTGTGCTATAAAATCACCACGTTTCCAACAGCCTCTCAAGCTGCCCTGCTTCCTCCTCCTCACCTCCAGCTACCACAATGTCAGCCCAGAAGCCCTTGTTCAGCAGCTCCACCTCGAGACACGGAGCCACCAGCTCCCCCTGCGCTCCGAGCACGTTGATTACAGAGAAAACTTCACTGGCTGTGGAAAGGAGATGGAATTGCCTCCTGTGGCTGCTTGTCCTTGGGGTGGATCACCCAAGAGATTCTAGGGCTGAATCTCCTTGCCCTGAATACAAGAAGGTCACGGGCCTGTTGGAGAAGGTCCAGAGAAGGGCCACAAAAATGATCTGAGGGCTGGAGCAGCTCTGCTCTGGAGCCAGGCTGGGAGAGTTGGGGTGTTGAGCCTGGAGAAGAGAAGGCTCCAGGGAGACCTTAGAGCAGCTTCCAGTGCCTGAAGGGGCTCCAGGGAAGCTGGGGAGGGATTCTGGACAAGGGCAGGGAGTGATACAAGATGCAATGATCCTAAACCACAGCAGGGTCAATTTAGATTAGAGATTAGGAAGAAGTTCTTTACAATGAGGGTGGTGAGACATTGGCCCAGGTTGCCCAGAGAGATGGCCCTTGGAAACATTTAAGGTCAAGCTTGATGGGGCTCTGAGTAACTTGATCTAGCTAAAGATGTCTCTGCTGACTGCAGGGGGTTGGACTAGATGGCCTTGAAAGGTCCTTTCAACCCCCACACATTCTGTATCTCCATGAGCTTGTGGCATGTGAAGCATCTCCCTGCCTCCACATCTGCACAGACCCCAGCAGAGAGGAGCTGCCAGTGAGCAGCCAACGCTGGGCTGGGTCCTTCATTCCAGCCCGTGGCCCTGTTGGACAGTTCAGAGACAGCAGCTCTGGGAAACCAGATCTGCAGGCCCTGGGGAGGGATGAGCAGCCCCGGGGCTGCTGTGCCAGCAGAACATACTGCTCTCTGCTTTGGACTGAGCTTTAGCAGCTCCTGGACTGATGTGACTGATAGGGAAGGTATAAATTTCCACTCTCCAGGCACCAGCAGCTGCTGGTATTTCACACCCTGAGCTCATTTCTGAATCCATCAGGCCTTTATCAGATGTTGATGGTGCTGCAGAAATGCCAGTGGGCAGCGCTGGGCTGTGCAGCTCGGCTGGGAACTGCACCAGGAAGAGACAAGCTCGTCTCTTACTCAGAGAGATGAAACAGCATCCGAGCCCTGTCACAGGCTCCTTCCCCCTTTCCCAGCAGAGAAAAGCCCCTGGCCAACCCAGGTGGCCCAAAGGACCATGGCATCCTGGCTTGTGCCAGGAATGGTGTGGGCAGCAGGAGCAGGGAGGGGATTCTCCCCGTGCTCAGCACTGGGGAGGTCTCAGCTCCAGTCCTGGGGCAGCTCTGGGCCCCTCACTGCAAGAAGGAGCTGGAGGTGCTGGGGCAGGTCCAGGGGAGACAACGGGGCTGGGGAAGGGACTGGAGGGAAAGTCTGACAGGGATGGGCTGAGGGAGCTGGGGGTGTACAGCCTGGAGAAGAGGAGACTCAGGGGGGACCTTCTCACTCTCTACAACCACCTGAGGGGAGGTTGGGGTCAGGTGGGGTCTGGGCTCTTCTCCCAGGCAACCAGTGACAGGACAAGAGGGCCTGGCCTGAAGCTGCTCCAGGGGAGGTTTATGTTGGACATCAGGAAGCACTTCCTCATGGAGAGACATTAGATGGACTGCCCAGGGCAGTGTTGGAGGCGCCATCCCTGGAGGTGCTCAAGGAAAGGCAGTAGGTGGCACTTAGTGCCATGGTCTGGAGATGTGGGGGTGTTGGTCATAGATGGACTTGATGGTCCTGAAGGTCTCTTCCAGCCTTGGTGATTCTGTGATACAGCTGCAGGGCTGTGGTTCATGCTTTTTGCTGGGCTCCTTCCACCCCAGCCCGTGCCACAATGATCCCCCAGCTGCTTTACACCTCTCCCAAGCCAGGGCCTCATGGGCTGACACCCAGTCCCATCCATGCCACGTACTGGGACTGGATGATCTTCATGGTCCCTCCAACCCAAAGCAGCCAGGGATTCTGTGACACTCAGGGTTCCTGGGGTGAAACACAGCCCTGCCAGGGCCAGTGGGGCTGCCCTCCAAGCCCCGTGTCCCCAGGATGCACACTCAGGAAGGTGTGATCAGCAACAAGGTCTCCTCTTCTTCTAGCCCCTGGGTGAGAAAGCTGAATCCTCAGGGATTCAGGGTGTCCTGCCTCTCTCTTTGCCTCAGCACCAGCTGGATTTGCAGAGGACCCTTGGGGAATGTCCCCTCTACCCCAGCTAGCCCCCCAGCCCCCTTGTCTCAGCCCCCCAGCCTCCCTGGCTCAGCCCCCCACCCCACCTGGCTCTCTACAGGATGGTTTGAGGGGCAAACAAACTGCAGGGAAAAATGTAGGGCCTGGAGTCAGCAGAGGACACAGCAGTGCTGCAGAGCAGGGCTGGAGAGAAGCATGAGGTGGTTTCAGAGGGCTCTGCCAGCCCAAAAACCAGACCCTCAGGATAGGGCTGGTAGCTGGTGACATGCTCCTGACCCAATGTGCTCCCACAGCACAGGGCAGGACCACCTGGAGCTGTAATCCCACCCTCTGCACAGCCAAGAACTGGTCCCAAACTAAACCCACAGCACCAGCAGCACCCTCTCCACCAGCCCTTGGTGCCCAGGACATGGTGACTTACAGGCATGGGGATCTTAGAGAGCTCTTTTCCAATGCAGTTCTTCATGATGCTCCAGAGGTTAAGGCTGTAGTTGGGTTTGTCTGGGATGCGTGTCCGTCTCCTTTTCTTTGGCAGGAGATCTTTGCAAGTGGACTCATTGTAGCTACTTTGATTTGAGCTTTCAAAGACCTGCAAAAGCAACAGAAGAAATGTAGGTCTAAACCAGACTTGTCCAGCATGACCCAACCAGACCCAGCAGCTCCCAGGAGACACAGGGGAAGGAAGGGTGCTGGTGCCCCCCAGCAATGTCCTGCTTCCCCTGGGAGGGTGTTCAGGTGCTGCTGCAGGACTGACAACATCTGCTCCCCCCTGTGCCTCATAGGTTGACCAATTGCTCTATCCTGGAGGCAGGAGTCCCTCCAACAACCTCCTTGCTCCTCTCCCCTGGTTCCATCCCAGCAGGACTGTCCCTCCAACTCACACTGTCCTCCAGGTTCCAGTCCTCGGGGTGGCCCTCGCTGGCCCCGCTCAGGTTACTGCCCGAACGCCTGCGGGGGAGAAAGTACCAACTGGGAAACACAGACAAGGGAAGAGGAGAGAAGGGCCAGGGTGGGTGCAGCAGAGCCACCAGCACCCAGAGCATCTCCCTGCACCACCCCAGGGTCCTGCCAGGAAGGCAACAGGGTGACAGAGGCTGGGCTGCTGTTGGGAGGGGACACTCAGCACGGGGTGTCACAGCCTGGGGGATGAGAGCCTCTGAGTTTGTGTGACCATGGGGCAGATCACAGGTGCCTCCAGCCCAAAAAGACACCCAGGGAGTTGTAAGGGCAGACAAGGTACTCCAAGCTCCTGCCCAGGCTCCCCTCGGGTTCCCACACCAGGTGCTGGGGCAAAGAGCTCAGCTTTACCTGGCTTGTATCAGCACTAGTGTGATCAGCAGGACCAGGGCAGGGATTGTCCCTTATGCTGGGCACTGCTGAGGCCACACCTCAAATCCTGAGGGAGGTTCTGGGCTCCTCACAACAAGAACATGGAAGGGCTGGAGCATGTCCAGGGAAGGGCAGCAGAGCAGGGGAAGGAGCTGAAGCACAAGTGTGAGCAGGAGCAGCTGAGGGAGCTGGGGGTGCAGCCTGGAGACCAGGAGGTGAGGGGAGACCTGCTGGCTCTGCAGCTGCCTGAGAGGGGGTTGGAGCCAGGGGGGTTGGTCTCTGCTCCCCAGGAACAAGTAAGAACAAGAACAAGTTGGAGAGGAGGAAACTGCCTCAAGTTATGCCAGGGGAGGTTTAGATTGGATCTTGGGAATAATTTCTTCATGGAAAGGGTTGTCAGGCTGCCCAGGGCAGGGGTGGAATCATCATCCACGAAGGGATTTCAAAGCCCTGTAGATGTGGTGCTGAGGGACATGGGGCAGTGGTGGCCTTGGCAGGACTGGGTTAGTGGTTGGATCGGCTAATCTCAACGGTCTTTTCCAACCAAAACAATTCTATGATTCTACCACAGCACAGACTTGATGTCTGCAGGAGCAGGCAGAGCAGGGTCAGTCTGTGTGCTGGGGCCGTGGGGCAGAGCAGCCCCATGGGAGGGGACAGCACCATGCCAGGCAGACCCTCCCTCCCCTGCTCTTCCCCTGCTCACAACAGGTTTTGGCACCTTGCAAGGTGTGGCCCTGGGGAGGGGGCTCCTACCTGTGGTGCTTGGGGTCTGCAGTTACAGTGATAAAAGCTGGTGCATCCTCCATGGCATCGAAATACTCCGTCTCTTCATCTTCATCACTGGCCTCTCCCTTGGCAGACTGCACACCCCCTGTGGGCACAAAGGCTGTCAGATGCTGGGGTGCTGCTGGGCCCCTCTCTGAGCCCCAGGCTGTCCCCAGAGCCCACCCTCCTCCTGCTGTGTCCCCTCCAGCACTGGCTGCCTTTGCAGTTTGTCCCCTGCTCTCCAGCCCACTCCATGACAAGAGGATGCTGAACCACTTTCCAGCTCCTAAAGGAAGTGCCCGAGCAGCACGTGCCCTGCTCCCCAGCCCGGGCACCCAAGGCTTCCCTGATGTGCTGGGGACCTCCTCCAAAAAAGCCACCAGGCTGCTTGAGCCAGACACACTCGGGACTCTTAACGCCCAGCACTGCCCCATCTGCTGGGAGCCCCGCTCTGGATTCTGGCACAAAAGACCAATCAAGTTCCAGGTGATGCTAAAAAGAGACTTCCCAGCTTGCAGGTCTACCAGCTCTGCACTTGCAAACATCCCTCTCCTCTGCTAGGAGAGATGACTAAGAAACCAGGAACAGAGAATCACAGTGATGTCTGAGACCCACCACAGCTCCTCAGCTCCTGCTCCTCCCCAGGCACAGCCTCACTGCCCTGTCCCCAAGGGGCATCCCATGGGCACTGAGCTGCCAAGGCCACCTGCAGAGACCAGGACAGCCACCATGCAGCTCAGCAGCTCACA